GTACCTCGTCAGTGTCGGCGTCTTCGCTCTTCTCTACACCTTCTTCAGTCGCTTTCAGGTCGTCAGTAGCAACCTCCTTCGGTTCAACCGGCTCGTGGGGTCGGTCTGGGTCGGTCGCCAGCTCATGTTGATCCGCGGAATGAGCGCAATTCTGCTTTTGAGCGCGCCGCAACTTCAACTAACTTCGTCATGTGGCTACACGCGCATGGTGGCACGTCCTCGGTCGTATGTGGAAGCCGCCGTGATTGCGGGCGAAGCTACGTGGTTCACCTACAGTCTCCACGACCTTTTGGTGCTCGTCTTCGCCGATATGACGCGCATCTACGCGCCGCTCAGCGCCGCGTTCATATGGATATCGCATCTCGCGCTCGACGTGGCAGCGCCCGTTGGCATCTCTATCGAGATCGATCGGCGCTGCGTCGGACAGGACATGGACTCTGGCCTTCTCTGCACCGCGGGACGCATCGTCATCGGCAGCAGCGACCGCGTGCTGCTCCTTCTGTGGCTGCAAATCGCCTCGCTCGTTGTCGCTTTAGTCATTGCGTCTGCGTGGCGAGTCGGTAGAGGCTACCACGCGTGCAAAGCCAATGACGGATGTGTACTGCTTCTGGGCACGGCGCAAGCCTTCATTGTCCCGTACCATGCGGCGCCGCTTGAGCCCCCGCAATACGACGCAGCGTCGTGTGTCCTCTGTGGTTTGTTGGCGATACCGCGCACGCGCTATGCGTTCAACATAGTGCTCTGGAGCACGACGGCAATTGAGCTGCCAGCTGCCTACACGACCACCGCGGTCATTCCAGTGCGCCCGCACGTTTCCCATGTGATGCAAGTCCGACGCGCTGCAAGGACAGTCGTGCGCGAGAGACGGTCGACCATTTTTTTGAAAAACTAGAGAGCATTGCCGTCGAGACAGGAACGCGGAAGCGACGGCTTTTGCGCGCACTCGGTCTTCTCTACATGATCATCTCCATTCTGGGCAGTGTCTCGTACTTTGAGATTTCCAAAGTCAACTTGGCCAACGATCTCTACTGGCCCAACTTTAACGTCACGGGCCACCACGCGTTTTTTGCCAACTGGCTCAACGAACAGCTCGTGCTGGGTTTAAACAACCACAATATTGCGCTCGATGATCCAAGCATCAACCTCCTCGGCTCCTATGCAGCGCCGACAGCGTTCGTCTCGACCGTCAACAACTATGGTGCCTGGCTCCAGCACAACGAACTCAGTGCGATCGAAGCCTCGATTGCGGGTCTTCGCGTCTCGGATGCATGCAACGCGCCCTGGATCTTTACGCCGTACTGCTACCTCGACTGGAAGAAGCGATGGCAAATGGCCTACTCCAACCAGCGCCAACTGCGGTGTCAGAAGATGGAGAAAAACGCTGCCGTGTACCTCGAGTCGGTGCTGCGCAACATTGACTATGCAACCTTTGCGTATTGTTGGGGCAGTGCGTTTGAGACGGCGTTTGGTGCCGACCTGCGACAGTCGTCCGACGGTCAAGACTGGCTACATTCAATGGCGACAGAGCGACTGCCGCTGCAAGATGAAACCGCGCTGTGGCGCCAGCACAATCTATCAATATTTCAAGTGCAGTGGCAAAACTACAAGCGCATCGGCGCCATCAACAGCTACACCATAACCAACGCCTACGGTATCGCCTACCCAATGACACTCATGGCCCTCAACGGCAGCTACCGCTGGAGCAGTCAAACAACGTACAAGATGTACTGGTCACTCGCCAACGATCTCTCTGCGATTGCATCCAACACCAGTGGTATCAGCGGTCTCAGTCTCTTGCGAACGAGTCCTCGGTTCGCCTTTGCCAACACGTCGCTGCAAGCCGTCCTCACAACAAACTTGACGTTGATGTCGCCACTGGCCAAAGGACTCGCCCTTGTCGCAGCGACGATCGGCCCATTTGGCGTCACAGACATGGTGTATGTACGCGTTCCAGCAGCCGTTAGCAGCGTCTTTCGCGACATAATTCAAATGACACGCCTCGCTATGGCCCCGTCAGTCCACGCTCAAGCCGCCTACAACCAAATCACACCACTCGGCACGTCGTACCCGATTCCGAAAAAGTGGCTCACACCCAACTACGGCTCGCTTGGCGGCTCGCCGCTCTGCCAAGAGCTCATTGCTAGCAAGGTGGTCTCCGGCGGACTCACTTGCATGCCGTCTTATGACCTACCGTGTCTGCCAACGTCGCCCGTGCAGAGCAAGGTCCTGCCAACGCGCCAACACTATATCGTGTCGGCGATTCTCTCGGGTCTTGTCGCATCACCGCCCAGTGACT